AAGGGGTATCCGGCAGCCATACTCTTAGGGTTTCTGCAGTCTCTGTCAGACCAGTAAGTCTGGTCTTTTATTTATGAGTTAGAATTTTGTTCTACATTTTTCTCCAGCTCTGTTCAGGACCCTCTGTTGTGATCCCTGTCAGAGCAGTCAGTGGTGGTAGCTGGGCACCATCTAGTTGTGCTGGACTCAGGCTGGTGGAGGCTGTAGTTCATGTGGTCCTTTAGTCGTCTGGACTAATCTTTCCCTTGTGCCTTTGGTTTTCTTCATTCTCCCTTGCTCCAGGCGGGGTGGGATCAGTGGAGTATCTTAGATGGCTGCTCACAAGCTTTTAAGACCCTACATGATACTCACCAAAGTAGGATGTAGAACATTTTCTTTATAAACTGTATTACGCCAGTTGACCTACATGTCTCCTGAGACCATGGTCTCCAGCCCTCAGCCTAGTTAACTCGGTCCCTCAGGGAGTTTGGATGTGGCTATGAAGCTTCCATGACCTTGCCTTGGTCAAGTTATGCTGACTTCCCCAGTATTGTGTACTGTCTTACCCTTCACCAAAGTTAACACTTGTCTACTATCTAGTTAGTGATTTCTCTTTACAACCCCTTCCTTCCTTCATAACCATCAAAGATTGGTTTTTTCCACTAACTAGACAATAGATAAGTGTTAACTTTGGTGAAGGGAAAGACAACACACACAATATAGGGGAAGTCATAGTCATAGATGAAGACAAAGTCATAGAAGCTTTCTAGAGATATGTAAACACCTTGAGTTACTGGGGCTGAGGGCTGGGGACCATAGTCTCGGGGGATATTTAGATCAACTGGCATAACTGGTCAAAAGCGTCTGGGGTCTTAAAAGGTTGCGAACGGCCATCTAAGATACATCTATTGGTCCCATCCCATCCAGAGCAAAGAAGAATGACAAAAACCAAAGACACAAGGAAAGTATTAGTCCAAAGGACTAATGGACCACATGAACCACAGCCTCCACCAGCGTGAACCCAGAAGAACTAGATGGTGCCCGGCTACCACCACTGACCTCTCTGACAGGGATCACAATAGAGGTTCCTGAACAGAGCGGGAGAAAAATGTAGAACAAAATTCAAATTCACTAAAAAGACCAGACTTACTGGTCTGACAGAGACTGGAGGAACCCCCAAGACTACAGCCCCTGGACACCCTGCTAACTCAGAACTGAAGTTGCTCCTGAAGTCCACCTTTCAGCTGAAAATTAGACAGGCCTTAAAATAAACAATAACACGTAAGGAATGTGCTTCTTAGTTCATTCAAGTATACAAGACCAAATGGACTACACCTGCCCAAAAGCAAAGATGAGAAGACAGAACAGGAAAATTTAATGAACGGACGTTGGGGACCCGGGGTGGAAAGGAGGAAGAGTGCTAATGCAGTGCGGGGATTGCAAGTAACGTCATGAAACAACTTGTGTATAAATTTTTGAATGAGAAACTAATTTGCACTGTAAACTTTCATGGGTGAGAGTTAAACGTATCAGATAAATACACTAACTGCTGTAATGCTGGTTTGGCATATGCTGCTGGCTGCCCCTCAATATCTGTTTTTCCCTTCTTCTTTAATAACATGTGGTTTTTACCTGGACACATGGTTGCCTGGAAGGAAGATATTTCCCAATCCTCCTTGCAGCTAGGTAGAACCATGTCACGAAGTTATGGCCAGTGGAATGTGTGTAGAAGTGATGTGTGCAGCTTCTAGATTGCGCCCTTAAAGGGAAGGATGGGCCCCAATTCCTGCTGGCTGGAATGTGTGTGTGTAGTCGGCCAAGAGCTATGTCCTAGGGATGGTGGAACAACAAGACAGAAACTCGACACCACACCCCTGTCACCATGGCACCTGTATACCAGCTCTGGACTGCTTACACGCCCTGGAACTGCTATCCTGTTTAAGCAACTATTATTTAGGTTCTGTTCTTTGTTACAAGAGCCAAGACTATATCCTAATACACAAGGGACACATCTCAAGCAAATACCCATGGATAACATGATCAAGAGTATACCAAAAAAACCCATTGGCGTTCAGTCGATTCCGACTCATAGCAACCCTATAGGACAGAGTAGAACTGCCCCATAGGTTTCCAAGGAAGGCTGCTGGATTTGAACTGCCAACCTTTTGGTTAGCAGCCGAGCTCTGAGCCGCTGTGCCACCAGGGCTCCGATCAAGAGTATAGCTGATCAAAAAGACCGACAGTATCAAGTGTCATCGAGGATGTTGGGAGCCTGGGACCCTCACATATTGCTGGTGGGAATGTAAAATGGAACAGCTACAGTTAGAGAGTTTCTTAAAAAGTTAAACATACGTTTACCTTCTTACCCAGCCATTCCACTCCTAGGTATTTACCCAAGAGAAATGAAAAACATATATCCACACAAACACTTCTATGTAAATGTTGATAGCATAGTAAATGTTGATTATTCATAATATCCTCAAACTGGAAATAACCTAAAAGACTATCAGCTGGTTAATGGATAAACTGTGGCATGTACATAACAGGGAACACTACTCAACAATAAAAATAAACGAACTACTGATACATGAAACAGTATGGATGAACCTCAAAAACGTGATAAGTGAAAGAAGCCAGATGTATAAAACTACATTTGTATGATTACCTGTACATTACATTTCTAGAAAAGGCAGAACTGTCGAGATAGGAACTGTAGAGATAGAAACAGAAAGCACGTCAGTAGTTGCCTGGGGTGTGGGGTGGGAGCAGGGAGTGACTACAGATGGGCATGAGGAAGTTTTTCTGGATGATCGAAGTGTTCTAGAACTAGATTGTGGTGATAGTTGCAAAACTGTATAAATTGACTAAATCTCCTCAAACTGTATACTTAAAATAGGTGAATTTTATGGCATGTCAATAATACAGCAGTAAAAATGTTTAAAAAAATAAAGAGTATAGGCAAGCTGCTGGTGCTGAGATGAAGTCACCACCAGTTTTCAGTCACGGGCGTCTCTACATTGCTCTCATGGAACTCCTATTGTATCACAGAAGAACAGAATTAATTGTGAAATATTATGAATAAGTTGAAAGCATGCTAGCATTTGAGTAATAACAGTTAAAATCTACAGAGCAGCATACGTTATGCTGCCTACAACTGGTGTAAGGAAAATTCTCTTGACTTATGTGGAATGATACCTAGGTAACCCTGTTCTTTGTTTTAGGATAATTTGGGGCTTAAGGTCTGATATCTTTATGATGAGTGTGGTCGCTAGTCTCTAAAAATGGCTCCCAGTGAAACCTGCGTCCTTATGTTCACCCCCTATTGTAGCTGCTCCCCTTGAATCTGGGCTGGTCCTATGACTTGCTTTTGACCAACAGAATGCTTCAGAAGTGACACAAAGGACTTCTGAGGTTAGATCACAAAAAGTGTTGTAGTTTCTGTTTTGGTCTCGGAATGTAAACACAAATGGAAGCCAGCTGTCGTGTAGCAGGTCCAACTACCCTGAGATTTCGGTACTCTGAGGAAGCCCAAGATAACCCCTGAGAGAGAGAAGAAAAAGAAGAAGAAGACGAGAGAGAGACTGGTGAGCCCCCAGCTGTTCAAGCTATCCTAACCTGGGCTTCACATATATGAGTACAGGAGTCACTGGATGTCCAGCCCAGTCGAGCCTTCAGTTGATTCCAGCCCCAGCTGACATCTGACTGAACCACATGAAACATCTCAAACAAGAGCTGCCTAGCTGAGCCCAGTTAACTCACAGATTTGTATAGATTTGTATTTTTAAGACACTATGTTGTTTTAGGGGTGGTTTGTTACACGGCAATAGACAATCAGAATGGCAATAAGCTATGCAAAGACTATAGGAGTTGTTTTTTAATTTCTCCAGTTTAAAATATGGTAAGTTTAGTCCAAGGAACTTTAATAGAGTCATCTTAGTTGTTAGCCACTTTCCCTTTGATTCTTTGTCTAACCCACAGACAATTTTTTTTTCTTTTTAAAAAATTTTCAGAGACTGCAGACAGAGTGGCATTGTAACAAAGGTGTTTCAGGTAGACTATGAACCACCAAAGACAGTCTCTTCTGAAGCCGCTGGTGAAAACGTTCTCAAAGATTCTTCAAAGCAGGCAAGTAATAAAACACATTCACATAGTCACCACATTCTGGGTTCCTGCTTCCTCAGTGGTCACTTCTTCCCTTTCATTTCACCACTTCACCTCACAGCCAGGTCTTTATAATTGAAGTCAGTCTCAGCCATTGCAGAGTATCTTCACTGATTCCCAACTCTTTGATCAGTCCCTCCCCAACCCTGCAAATTAGAATTGAAACTTTCACTCCTGAATGGCTCCTAGCCTCTTCGGAGAGTGAACCAGACCTATCTAAGAAGGACACTTGAAACTTCAGTCCCTGGGTTGTGGGCATCAGTGAGATAGACCCAAGGAACAGGGCCAGAGGATGGGCTAACCCATGGTAAGGTAACTAAACAAGAGGTCCCAGTCATGAGCGTCTTGTTGGGGGCAAGAAAAGAAGCTCGCCTGGGAGCCACTTAAGCCCGAGGGTGGACCTGAGGCCAGAGAGCAGGCTGTGGGACAAAAGCAGTAGGTGCAAGCATAGTGTGGGGCTCAAGAATGATCAAGGCAGGTATCTATGGGGAAGAGGAAGTCAGTAGAGCCTGAGCCTACATGTGTCAGCAGGTATTCGGCTTGAATCAGGCATAAGGGACCAAGTCCATGGAGAAGAAAGTCCAGACAGAAGAGCATTTAAGAACTGTGTGGGCAGCAGTGTACATAAGTCCTGTCTTGATCTGATTCCACTCTTTCTTTGCCCTCTGGGTCTGGTGGCACCTCTGTTATTATTCAAACTCCCATCCTGCCTGTATGTGCTGCCATTTGCTCCTGTGTTGGCCGTTTGACCTAGTGGGACAGACCAACCAGTCATGCTGCCAGTCAAGCAGCCAGGATACTAGAGCTGTGTGTTTCTAGAGTAAAGGTAAACAAAGGCCACTTATTAAAAACTACTGGAAAACCTTCCAAATAAGAACTGCATGCTATGGCACTGTCTCTACTATATAGCCTTTAAATTTCACATTCTACATGGGTATAATCAGGTGATTGATATGTAATCTCTTCATTCCTAGGAATTGAAAAATGGGTTTGTTGGATCAAAACTAAGAAAGAAAGATAAGAATGCTGAAAATAAACCTGATTGCAACATTAACCTTAGAAAGTTTCCAGGTATGAAAGTGGAGAACAAGGAAAAGGTTTAGTATTCTAAACCCACAGACAGGTTCACTGCTTGTTTTCTTATCTGAGGAAGTGTTGAAATGAGAAACACTGGAAGAGGAGAGTAAGCTAGAATTTGAGTTTTAGTGCTGTTCTAGCGCCGGCACTTTAAGATCGAGCAGTACAACAGTCAGATTTATTGACTCCTTGCAACAAGGGAGACTATATACCAAAGCAACCATGAGACATCTCATCAAACAAAGGAAAAGATAGAGTTATAGGATTTGGGGGCAGAGTGGAGTTTGGGTAAAATTTAAATGAAAGCCGAGTTTTGATAGGCTCAAGGAAAATCAGGGCTCTTTGTGAAACCCTGGGCTGTAAAGGGGACCCAGTGTTCTGTTACCTTGGAAACTATAAAGTTAAGATAAATGCTGAAGATTGTGTTCAGAAATCTCTTACCTGAAGCTCTGCACCAGAGCTGGAAATTGAAGCCGCTTCTCTGTGTCAATGTGATTTAGATCCTCTAGGCAAGAGTGGGATGTTTCCTTCTTACTGACATTTCAGACAGCAAAATTTTTGATAATTTATTATTTTAGATAACAAGGTTTCCTGGTAAGAAAGCAGTAGTCATTCAAAGAGGGGGTTGTTGTGACATTTTAAAGCTACAGTGTGCCCCTGGGAGAAATAATGTTTCCTGCTAACCTTGCAGTTGGATTTATCTGTCTGTTTTTGAAGCCGGATATAGAATGTTGTGGAGTGTAGCAGGGCAGATTTTTACTTCTCAGCCTGGATAATTTTTTTCTTTCTCAGTGCTAATGCACTAAGCAGGAGATCTTTATATAATTGTTACTTCTACGGAAAGAATGTGATGACAGGTGGTCCCTTATTAAAATGTTCCCAACTATGAGGACATATTTACATGATTTTATATGTGTGTGTATATATATATATATGTTTTTACTGAAAAATGTTTTTAATCTAATTTTAGGCCTTGAGATAGGTGAAAGAACCGATCCTAAAATTTTGAAAGGTCTTCGCTTCTCAGAGAGTCCCCTGGAAATCCTAGCTTACCGTGAAGAATCGGGTTCTAGCCCACCCACCCGCCAGTCCCAGGTAACTTCCAAGGAGAATCTCTAGGGTACTAATACCTGCCATATTTTTAATGCCTCCTGTGGAATACTTTAAGGCAATACCTCCAAGCCTTTCTCTGTGTGCCAGGCAGTGTTCTGGTACTGGGGATATTGTGTTGGGCAAGAAAGCCCCTGCAGTCATGGAGCTTACATTTTTATTGGCATTGGGGGCAGGCAGATAATAAACATGAAATAAACATTTTTAAATACCATGAGAAAAATAAAACTGAATAACAGGATAGAGCAATGGTCCTCAAAGTGTGGTTCCTAGACCACCGGCATCAGCACAGCATCATGTGGGAGCTCGTTAGAAATGCAAATTCTCAGGCCCCACATCAGACCTACAGAATCAGAGACTTTGGAGGTGGGCTCAATAATCTGTGTTTTAATTAGTCCACCTTCTAATGCACACTCAAGTTTGGGAACCCCTGGGAGAGAGATTGGCCATGGGGAGTAGACAAGAGTGATTCTAATTTACAGTGATAGGGAAAGGCTTCCTTGAAGAGGTGACATTTGATTAAACCTTCATGATGAATAGAAGCCGGCCCTGCACAGATCTTGAGCAAACACGTTCTGGCATCAGTAACAACAAGTATAGAAAAGTGAGGGATGGCAAGGAGGCTGGTGTGGGTGGAACATGGTGAGCAAGGTACAAGATGAGGTGGGAGATGTAGGCTGGGGCCAGAGCATCTAGAACTATGGTTCTCAAGACACAAATGCACATGAAAATCACCTGAGAAGCTTCAAACCAATCCTTGAGGCCTAACGGCAGTGTGGCCCAATAAGAATACTGCTTTAGAGAAAAAAAAAAATTGGAGGAATTTCTGTTTTTGCAGTACCACAATGTATATCTCAAGCCTGCAGGGTATGAATTATAAGCTTATTTATAAATTCCAGGTTTCATGAGAGTTCTCTACCATAGATTGAATGACCATTGTTAGGTGCCGTTGAGTCAGTTCTGACTCAGTGACCCTATATACAACGGAACGAAATACTGCCCGGTCCTGCGCCATCCTCACAATTGTTGTTATGCTTGAGCCCATTGTTGCAGCTACTGTGTCAGTCCTTGTTGAAGGTCTTCCTGTTTCTTGCTGGCGCTGTACTTTACCAAGCATGATGTCCTTCTCCAGGGACTGCTCCCTCCTGATAACGTGCCTGACGTATGTGAGACGTAGTCTCACCATCCTTGCTTCTAAGGAGCATTCTGGTCGTACTTCTTCCAAGACAGATTTGTTTGTTCTTTTGGCAGTCTATTCAGTATTATTCTTTTTTTGGCAATATATTCAATATTCTTCTCCAACACCACAATTCAAAGGTGTCAATTCTTCTTCACTCTTCCTTATTCATTTTCCAGCTTTTGCATGCATATGAGATGATTGAAAACACCATGGCTTGGGTCAGGTGCACCTTAGTCTTCAAGGTAACATCTTTACTTTTCAACACTTTAAAGAGGTCTTTTGCGGCAGATTTGCCCACTGCACTGCGTCTTTTGATTTCTTGATTGCTGCTTCCGTGGGTGTTGATTGTGGATCCAAGTAAAATGAAATCCTTGACAACTTCGATCTTTTCTCCATTTATCATGATGTTGCTTATTGGTCCAGTTGTGAGGATTTTTGTTTTCTTTACGTTGAGGTGTGATCCATACTGAAGGCTGTGGTCTTTGATCTTCATAAGTAAGTGCTTCAAGTCCTCTTCACTTTCAGCAAGCAAGGTTGTGTCATCTGCATGATGCAGGTTGTTAATGAGTCTTTCTCCAATCCTGATGCCCCGTTCTTCATATAGTCCAGCTTCTCGGATTATTTGCTCAACATACAGTACCTCAAGATCACAAGTTTGCTATAGGGCTTCTACAGCTACTTGAATAATGAATGGGATAAGTTCAAAAGATGTATGATTTTGGTATATGACACACGTCTTAGTTTCCTAGTGTTGCCATAACAAAAATACCACAAGTGGGTAGCTTTAAAGAACAGAAATTTATTGTCTCACAGTTTTAGAAGCTAGAAGTCCAAATCAGGGCATCAACTCTAGGGAAACGTCCTTCTTTGTCAGTATCCCTTGGCTTATAGATGGTATGTGTATCTCTCTGTCCTTTTTCCCTTTTTATAAGATACCACTCAGAAGGGATTAGATTTTAGGATCCACCCTACTCTGGTATGACTTTATTAACATAACAGAAGAAAGCCCTCTTTTCAAACAGGGTTACATTCACAGGTATAGAGGTTAGGATGTCTTTATATCTTTGGAGGGACACAATTCAATCCATAACAATACAAAGAATAGTTACTCCTATTTTCAGAAAAACACTCTCATGGGTCCATAATTATGTGTAATAGGTTTAAACCCAAAAAAACAAACCAGATGCCATGGAATCGATTCCAACTTATGGCGACCCCATGTGTTTCAGAGTAGAACTGCACTCCATAGGGTTTTCAATGGCTATGATCTTTTGAAAGTAGATCTCCAAGCCTTTCTTCTGAGACACCTCTGGGTAGAATCACCAACCTTTTGGTTAATAGCTGAGTGTTTAACCACTGGTGCCACCCAGGGACTCCTGTACTTGGTCTAGAAAGTTATTTTTTTCATGCATGAATATTTGGATGACCTTGCTGTCGTGGATTGAATTATGTGCCCCCCAAAAATGTGTGTATCAATTTGGCTGGGCCATGATTCCTGGTATTGTGTGATTTTCCTATATGTTGTAAACCCTGCCTCTATGATGTTAATGAGGGAGGATAGGTGGCAGTTGTGTTAGTAAGGCAGGACCCAGTCTACAAGATTGGATTGTGTCCTGAGGCAGTCTCTTGAGATATAAAAGAGAGAAGTGAGCAGAGAGATGGGAGACCTCATACCACTGAGAAAGCAGTGCCAGGAGCAGAGCGTGTCCTTTGGACGTGGGGTCCTTGCATGGAGAAGCTCCTGGTCTGGGGGAACATTGATGAGAAGGCCAACAGAGGGAGAAAGCCCTTCCCTGGAACTGACACCCTGAATTTGGACTTTTAGCCTACTTTACTGTGAAGAAATAAATTTCTGTTTGTTAAAGCCATTCACTTGTGGTTTTTCTGTTGTAGCAGCACTAGATGACTAAGACACTTGCCCACAGAATTGTTTAAGAGTTGTTGTTTCCAAAGGAAAGATAGAGTAAAACAATATGTAAAGATTCCAAGTTTCAGAATCTCAAAAAACTGGGAACATAGGAACAAAGCCAAAGATCGGAGAATATGATTAGAGTTCAGAAAGCCAGGGAGGCCAGAAAAGGACTGCAGAGCTTTTTTCTTCCATTTTTTTTCTTCATATTAGTGACATATCCTTCTTAATATTTCAGCTTAATCCCGTCTGAAACATACTTCAGCAAATGTCAGAATTAATGACACTGGTGGTGTTACATGTCAGTAAACACCAGGGAGCCAAAGTGTTTCTGAGCTAAGCAACTGGCTTAGCAAAACTCGATGGCAGGTGAGATTTGGCCAGTAGGCCTCCACTTTACAACTTCTGGTCTAGGCCATGTTAGATATATTTCAAAAGCAACTAAAAACCTCTGACTGAAAAACAAACAAAAACAAAAGTAAGAAAAACCTCTGAGTGCTCCCTATCACCTGCAGAATAGTCCGGAGTTCTAAACTCGGCACACAGGCATTGTGGTAGACGAGTAGTCTCCCAGGGTCAGGTAGGCTTGAGTTGGAGTCTACTTAAACTTTTTTTGTTGTTGGCCAATTCAGCTTTTTACAGGTGTACAACTTATTGACAGCAATTACATTAATTGGCTGTGCAAACCTACCTTTAATCAATATGATTTTTCCATCACCGTAAACTGAAACTCAGTACTGCATAAGCAATAAACCACCCCTCCTCCTTCTTTTTGCCCCTGGTAGCCAGTAATAAACTTTGGTCTCTATACATTTGTCTGTTCTTGTCTTTTTATGTAAGTGAGGTCGTACAATATTTGTCCTTTTGTGATTGACTTAGTTCACTCAGCATAGCACCTTCAAGCTCCATCTGTATTGTAGCATGTATCAAGAGTTCATTTCTCTTACTGGCTGAGTGGTATTGTACACATTTTGTTTATCCATTCATCTGTTGATGGGCATTTTGGTTGTTTCCACCATTTGGCTATTGTGAATAGTGCTGCAGTGAACACTGGTATGCAGTATCTGTTTGAGTCTCTGCTTTTAAGTCTTTTGGAGTCTAGGAGTATAATTGCTGGGTCATACAGTAGTTCTATTTTTAGTTTTTTGAGGAACCGCCAAACTGTTTTCCAAAATAGCTGTACCATTTTGCACTCCCACCAGCAATAGATAAGGGTTCCAATTTCCCCCACATCCTCACCAACATTTGTTATTTTCTGGGTTTTTTTTCTTTTTTAAATCTTAGCCATCCTGGTGGGAGTCATATGGGAAATGGTATCTCATTGTGGTTTTGATTTGCATCTCTCTCATGGCTAATGATATTGAGCATCTTTTCATGTGTTTGGTGGCCATTCGAATGCCCTCTTTGATGAAATGTATATTCAAGTCGTTTGCCCATTTTATGATTGGGTTGTCTTTTTGTTGTTAAGTTGTCAAAGTTTTATATATATTCTGGTTATTAGATTCTTATTGGATATATGGATATATATAAAGATACTCTTATTGGATATATATGAAGATACTCTCCCAGTTGATAGCTTGTCTTTTCACTTTTATGGTAAAGTCTTTTTTTTTCCATTAGAGAATTCATGATTAGCAAGAATACAGGATGGACCTCTCCTGTTGGAGGTCTTCAGTTAGTCTGATTAAAACATACTAAATCTTCTTCCCAAAGGCAAGCTGCCCTTCCTTGGTTTACCTGTTAACAGTCATGGGTCACTTTCTCAGAAGCAGAAGTGGAACCTAAGACAAAATGGAGTCTGAGCCATGAGGTCAATCTCCTCTGAGAACCTGGTTTCTTTAAGATACATAATTTTCTACATCCTAAGAGGGTGACAGTTTGATTACAAACATTAGA